GAGGGGAGGGAGAGGGAAAAGGGACTTACATGTGAAACAAGCCTGTTCCCTAACTTGAATTAATAATAATAATAAAAAGAGGGAAAAAAAAAAGAACTCAGCTTATCTAATCACTCGAATAATTTTGGCATGATCTTGTCCATTTTTACCCTTTATTGGGTTTTGATGCTGATTTGCTGCAGTAGCAGCTAGCTGGTTCTTACAGAGACCCAAAAGTTTAGAGCAGCGAAGGTGACTCCTCAGTTGTTCTTGTTTTGTTTTCAGGGAGGACTTCTTTCTGTAGCCCAGGCTAATCTGGAATTGAGAGCAATCTTCCTGTCTCAGTCACTCCAGTGCTGGGCTTGCAGGTGTGAGCTGCCACACCCATCTTCTACCTTTAGTAGAATTTTCTATTTTGGGGGCCAAGCTTCAGGTCACCACCCTTAAGTTTCAATGTTGGGGTCCTCAGGGGGGAGTGGGGAATCACATTTTTCAAAGGATGGAAAAGTTATGTAGGTTGCAGGTGTTTTTGTTTTTTATCTTTCTGCCCTAGACTGTGCCTACTGCAAAACTGAGGGAATGTTTTGTTGTTATTTTGTTGAGTTTTTTGTTTGTTTTTATTTTTTTGAGACAGGGTTTCTCAGTGTAACAGCACCGGCTGACCTGGAACTCACTCTATAGAGCAGGCTGGCCTTGAACTCACAGAGATCCACCTGCCTCTGCCTCCCCTGACTGCTGGGATTAAAGGTGTGCGCCACCGCCTTCCGGCCAGCAACACATATTTTATTGAAGCTTTCCCTGTAGAGCTATGAAAGCTCGTCACAGAGGTTTGAGATGGGAAGTAAGCAGTGTGGTTCTGCTGCCACTAGAGAGATGTGTCATCAAGGATCCATCTTCTTCCGTTTATCCAATTTCCTTCTGTCTTAGTTACTTTTTTGATAAGACACCATGGCCAAAGCAACTTAGAGAAGAAAGAGTTTATTTGGGGAGCAGTTTCTGGTTAGTCCATAACCATCATGACTGGGAGAATGGCAACAGGCAGGCAGGTGTGGTGCTGATCCATATGCATGAAACAGAAAGACAACTACCTGGGAATGGTATGGGCTTTTGAACCTTAAAGCCCACCCCCAGTGACAAGCCTCCTCCAACAAGGCCACACCTCTTAATCCTTCCCAAACAATCCCACCAACTGGGCACCAAGTATACATGAGCCTATGGGGGCCATTGTCACTCAAACCACCTTGGTCTTCAGGTTTTTGTCTTCAAACTTCTTGTCCCCCTCATAGTCACAGAATGGCTGCTATATATATCTCCAGGAGTCTCATCCTCATATACTCATCTCCAGAGATACAATAGGACTTTTTCCTTTTCCAAGAACAATGAGGACACTGCTCAAAAACACCCCACAGGCTTGCTTCATATTTCTTCAGCCAAAAGTGTGACCCACACTCTACCTAACCCAATGGCCAGTGAGGAAATGCAAACAGAACCATTGCCTTTGGAGGCTGCAGAGGGGTCCTCTTCCCTGGATATATGACCTAGTCTGCATTAGTCAGCAAGTCTGATTCCTTCCAGGAGATGGGAGATGATGGCAGGGGAGTTGCTGTAGCTTTTGGATAGAAATCTCTTGTCTGTCACCTGCAATACAGTAGTCATGGCAATGCACAAACAGGTCTTTAAGGCCTGTGCCAATCATAACAGACTATGCATGTAAACAGTGCAGTTACAACAAGCAACAGTCGAGGGAAATTACAAGAGATGGGCCTTGAGGTCTGTGTGGGAACCAGTGTTTCGTGCCAAGTTTTCATCAGCCTGGAAAGGAAGTGAGTCTGACAGTAATCTTCCACCAACATAGACCACTGCATTTTCCAGACCAGAAGACACAGAAGATACGTTTGTTTCCTCAGTGCAGAAGTGCCCGGGCTGTTCAGAGAATGGGCTCCTAATACACATTGTTTCTCCTTGCCCTTCCTAATATCTCATATGCATCCATGTATTTGGTGTTTGGTTTTCATGTTGGTTTATTTTCTTCTGCCTTAGTGCTTAAAACATTGGTTTTTTTGTTTTGTTTTGTTTTTTTAAAAAAAAAACAGTCAGGAAATTCCTCGGCAGCTTTGTTCCTATTGTGAAAGCAGGGGAAACAAACCACATGTTTATCTATAGGAGAGTTGTATAAAGCCCAACAATACTAGATCTGCAATACAAAGGACCAAATCACTGATCCAGTGACTTGGACACATTCAAGAGCATTGTGTTGTGACATAGATGGGAGACACTGAAAACTATCTATTGTGGGGTGCCATTTATGTGAAATTCTAGAAAAGAAGAAATCAGTCTATAGCCATGGAAACCAGAACAGCATTCTGGTCATAAGTAGATATTTATCTCTTACAAAGGAAGGCAGCAAGGAGGCAGGCCCCTGGGGAAGACATGGACACAGTCAGGGTCGGAAGACTGGAGAATGTCGACTCCACCAGGCTTCCTTCATTGGATGACATTAGCACAGACCTGGCTCTTAAGCTTTGGGACTCTCCTGTTCTCAGGATAAGCTGTTGCCCCTGATCTAGTGCCCTCCCGAGGCTTCTACCCAACTTCTATGCTGCCTCAACAGCAGGGCCTCCAGGCAGTGTCATGAAGCCCATTTCTGCTGAGTTTAGACATGGACTCACTTGTCTCTGAACTTTGACCTCTCTGCTAAGAATGATTCATTTGATTGTGCAGCCTGAGTCTTTCTGACTGTAAAGATCAGTGTCCACCCGCTGCTCGCTTCCCTGGAGCCTCACCTCTGCAGAGCTTTGCTCAGGATTTAGTCAAGAAACCTTGGTGTAGCTCATTTCTGAGCCAATTGTGAAGTGAAAGCTCCCACTTGGCTGCTCTTCCCCATTTTCTGTCATGTGGCTTTAAGATACTGGAAATAAGAAGTGATGCTCATATGTTTTCATATGAATAAAAGTAATTTCCAGTTTACAAACAGCGTATCACTAAACTGTACTCCGCTTCCCAGTTTTCTACCAAAACAAGTCAAATCCAGGAGACTTTGTAACATGCAGCAACTGGATCAACCCTGGGTCTTCTGACTCCTGACCCGGGCTTCCTAGACCAGACTTTGGTCTCCCCCAAAGAATGAATTCTCAGAAGCAGGGGCTGCGGTTCTGACTCCTGTTGAATGACAGGGAATGTGTCTTATGGGTAGGAGCTAAGCCAAACAAGAGTGACAGGTGGCCTTCGATGGTGAACCTGGAAGTGGTCCCTGGTTACCCAAGACTTGTGTACTGGGTCAGTCACCCACCCCCACCCCCACCC